TGATGGGGAACCTGATGGGGAACCTGATGGGGAACCTGATGGGGAACCTGATGGGGAACCTGATGGGGAACCTGATGGGGAACCTGATGGGGAACCTGATGGGGAACCTGATGGGGAACCTGATGGGGAACCTGATGGGGAACCTGATGGGGAACCTACTGGGGAACCTGATGGGGAAACGGATGGGGAACCTGATGGGGAACCTGATGGGGAACCTGATGGGGAACCTGATGGGGAACCTGATGGGGAACCTGATGGGGAACCTGATGGGGAACCTGATGGGGAACCTGATGGGGAACCTGATGGGGAACCTGATGGGGAACCTGATGGGGAACCTGATGGGGAACCTGATGGGGAACCTGATGGGGAACCTGATGGGGAACCTGATGGCGAACCTGATGGCGAACCTGATGGGGAACCTGATGGGGAACCTGATGGGGAACCTGTGTTAAAATTTAACCGTTGTTTTGATTAGGAATCAAGAGGGCTTTACATAGTTGAAGCTAGGGAAGGTGGGTTGGTTGGGTACCTAACCAACATTATTGGCCTCCCCCACCAATAAGTTGGGTTGGAGAATTATTGGGGGGTCCCAATAATGTTGGCCAAAGTGAGCCAGCATTATTGGGGGGCCAATAATCTCCCAACCCAACCTTGGGGGCCAATAATTGGGCCAAGGTTGGGTTCCAACCCCCAACTAGGGTTAACCCTAGTTTGTGCACCCAAACATAGTTTGGGTGCTTATCACTATCCTAGGGTTTATAGGATCAATGCAGGATACAAAAGAGGAGTATAATCTAACAACCTGATGGCGAACCTGATGGCGAACCTGATGGGGAACCTGTAGGGAACCTGATGGGGAACCTGATGGCGAACCTGATGGCGAACCTGATGGCGAACCTGATGGCGAACCTGATGGCGAACCTGATGGCGAACCTGATGGCGAACCTGATGGCGAACCTGATGGCGAACCTGATGGCGAACCTGATGGCGAACCTGATGGCGAACCTGATGGCGAACCTGATGGGGAACCTGATGGGGAACCTGATGGGGAACCTGATGGCGAACCTGATGGCGAACCTGATGGCGAACCTGATGGGGAACCTGATGGGGAACCTGATGGGGAACCTGATGGGGAACCTGATGGGGAACCTGATGGGGAACCTGATGGGGAACCTGATGGGGAACCTGATGGGGAACCTGATGGCGAACCTGATGGCGAACCTGATGGGGAACCTGATGGGGAACCTGATGGGGAACCTGTGTTAAAATTTAACCGTTGTTTTGATTAGGAATCAAGAGGGCTTTACATAGTTGAAGCTAGGGAAGGTGGGTTGGTTGGGTACCTAACCAACATTATTGGCCTCCCCCACCAATAAGTTGGGTTGGAGAATTATTGGGGGGTCCCAATAATGTTGGCCAAAGTGAGCCAGCATTATTGGGGGGCCAATAATCTCCCAACCCAACCTTGGGGGCCAATAATTGGGCCAAGGTTGGGTTCCAACCCCCAACTAGGGTTAACCCTAGTTTGTGCACCCAAACATAGTTTGGGTGCTTATCACTATCCTAGGGTTTATAGGATCAATGCAGGATACAAAAGAGGAGTATAATCTAACAACCTGATGGCGAACCTGATGGCGAACCTGATGGGGAACCTGTAGGGAACCTGATGGGGAACCTGATGGCGAACCTGATGGCGAACCTGATGGCGAACCTGATGGCGAACCTGATGGCGAACCTGATGGCGAACCTGATGGCGAACCTGATGGCGAACCTGATGGCGAACCTGATGGCGAACCTGATGGCGAACCTGATGGCGAACCTGATGGGGAACCTGATGGGGAACCTGATGGGGAACCTGATGGCGAACCTGATGGCGAACCTGATGGCGAACCTGATGGGGAACCTGATGGGGAACCTGATGGGGAACCTGATGGGGAACCTGATGGGGAACCTGATGGGGAACCTGATGGGGAACCTGATGGGGAACCTGATGGGGAACCTGATGGCGAACCTGATGGCGAACCTGATGGCGAACCTGATGGCGAACCTGATGGCGAACCTGATGGCGAACCTGATGGGGAACCTGATGGGGAACCTGATGGGGAACCTGATGGGGAACCTGATGGGGAACCTGATGGGGAACCTGATGGGGAACCTGATGGGGAACCTGATGGCGAACCTGATGGCGAACCTGATGGCGAACCTGATGGCGAACCTGCACGCCCCCACCCCCCTTCCGCCCTTCCCTCCACACGCACATCAACAGTCCCTGTCCACTTGCTGCCATTCCCGTCCGTGTCGCAGGACGGGAGGCACACACACGCATGGGGAGAGAGAGACAATCACACAAACACGGCACAACAAGGGAGGGTTAGAAGCAGCAGGAGGCGAGTGGCGGAAGCAATTCACGATTCTTACATCTGCAAGGGCAACAGACACGATTCTTACCTCTGCGCGGCGACACCCTACGCCTCAATTCACGGCCCCCCTGCAAGCACCCCCTGGCACGTACCACGCACACACAAACACGGCACAACAAGGGACGGTTAGAAGCAGCAGGAGGAGAGTGGCGGAAGCAATTCACGATTCTTACATCTGCAAGGGCAACAGACACGATTCTTACCTCTGCGCGGCGACACCCTACGCCTCAATTCACGGCCCCCCTGCAAGCACCCCCTGCAAGCACCCCCTGCAAGCACCCCCTGCAAGCACCCCCTGCAAGCACCCCTGCAAGCACCCCCTGCAAGCACCCCCTGCAAGCACCCCCTGCAAGCACCCCCTGCAAGCACCCCCTGGCAACAGACACGATTCTTACCTCTGCCGCTTTGACGCTCTGCCTCCTGCACCAGGCCAAGCCTTCGCCCCAAGCAGCGCCCTGCTGCTGCCCGTTGTTGCTCCGTTGGTGCTGCTGCTGCAGTTTTTTCTCTCGTTGCGTCCACCACGTGTTGCTGCAGAAAAGAGGAGAGGACAGGAAAGGAGAGTGAGAAGAGTTGATTCAGCTCAACTCCGTTTACCTTTGAGACGGAGAAGCCAAGGGAGAGGGTGAAGAGCCTAGAGAGCAGCAGCAGGGCGGGCAGTGCGGCGAGCAGGGCGATGTTGATCTGATTCGCTCCAACTCCAACATGGCCCTGTTGCAGGGGGTAGGGAGGAGAAGGGAGGGGGAGGAGTGGGTAGCGGGGAGGTGAGAGGGAGGAGGGCAAGGAGGCGAGCAGGCAATAGAATACACACGAGGGTAATGTGTTCGGGGGTGGAGGCGAGAGAAAGAAAAGGTATCAAAGCTGGAATGTGGAGGAGGGAAGAGGGGAGTGGGAAGGAGAGAGGGGAAGAATGGGAAGAAGGGCAAGGGTTAAAATACAGTTGCATGATGATGGCAAGAGAATGGGGGCTTACGTTTCAATGTGCAGCTTCATCCTTTGCACCTGGAAAAGAGGGCAGAGAAGGGACAGGGGGGAGGGGGCAGAGGAGAGGTGGGGGTGAGCAGCAGATACATTCAGTGAACCTGGATTCATCACGCAGGGTGGTCAGAGTGCCAGAGAGTGGCAAACGAGCTCATGCAAACGCAGGTGTTGCATTGAAAAATCATGCGAGTGTTCACTGAACATTCACCTGAATCAGCAGCGCTTCGGCTAGCCTCCCTGTGAGGAGGTGAGTGAGTGAGGGGGTTGGCCATGTCTTTCTCGTATTCGCACATCACCACTGCCATTAAATCTGACTATGATGGCACTGCTGCACCTGCTCCAGTAGTGCCGCTGTTACTGCTGCTGGAGCTGCTGCTGCTGATTTCAACAAATGTCAGCAGCATTCTGCAGGGCGGCATTCTGGATCCACCATCCAGGAGAGGAAACATCAACCATCCACCATCCACCCATCACCCACCTACCGAGCTGAACGCCTACTTCCCCACCGCTCCCCATCATAAGAAGCAGCCCACCTATCGAGGTCGTCACTACCATTCAGCCGGCTATGCCGCACCACCCAGCTCCCCACCGCCACGCCACACAGCCCCCCTGCCAGGTACTCGAGCCAGTGCCGTGCCGCGTGCCTCGGCCTATTGCAGCACGCCACCTGGATAGGGTACAGTGGGGGCAAGAAAGAGGAGTGGTGAGAGGGGGTGTTATGGAGGAGAGGCGGCAATGCTAGTAATCTTGAGCGTCACCTACTACAGACCAGAAGCACCTACCCGAGCAACCACCACATCAGTTTCAACCCCATCAGTTTCCACCACATCAGTTTCCACCCCATCAATTTCCACCCCATCAATTTCCAACCCATCAATTTCCACCCCATCAGTTTCCACCCCATCAGCTTCCACCCCATCAGTTTCCACCCCATCAATTTCCACCCCATCAGTTCCCACCCCATCAATTTCCACCCCATCAGTTTCCACCCCAACAGTTTCCACCCCATCAGTTTCCACCTCATCAGTTTCCACCCCATCAGTTTCCACCCTAACAAATCCCGGGATGAGAAGGCTGGAATGGAGTGAGGTGAGGAAATGGAAGCAGAACAGGCACACGGCATAGTGTGAGGTGAGGCAATGAAGTAAGGCAAACCCAATGCTTGCCTCGGGATTATACTTACCTGCCCAGCTGGGGACTATTCTGTTCAGTGCTGATTGCATAGAATATATGTGCTGTTAGTCTACCCCTGTGCTGCTACAAAAGAACAACATATCCTTCCACATTCTGAACTTGAGTTGCAGCCGCAGCACATATATCAGGCGTGAATGTTTAATCTGCAAGATTTCTCAGACAAACAGTACATTCAAGCCCCTAGGTCATATCTCAAATTGGATAGTACGCAAGAAAGTACTACCCCACTCCCTCCTTCCACAGTTTCCTATGAACACAGTTTGCAGATACGAAACGACAAAAATTTCTTGCCTTCCTACGCATATCATACCCCTTTCTACCCTTCTCTCATGGCCTAATCTCATTTCTCTCTAATTTTCCTATGCTTCTACTTCTCGCCATCCATCCACCCCTTTTGCCCCCTACAGTTCAATCCATGCCATACCCCCTTCCATAAATGGTTGCAGATTCTCCGTTTGAGATCAGAGGGCAGTCCTCTATAGTGCACTCCTGCAGCATTGGCATATTCTGGATGAAGGGTGGCAGTTGAGCCAGCTGCTCACAATGCTGCACTTCCAACCACTGTAGACGAGACAGGTCTTGGAAAGAGTCAGGGAGGCTGCACAGATTTGGAAGATCACATAGACGAAGAAACCGGAGAGAGAGAAGCTTTCCAAAATCGCGTGGAAGGAATGATGCCTGTAGGCAGTTGTCCAGCTCGCAATGTTGTAGACTGGGAAGACTGGAGAAGGATTTTGGAAGGTCGGATAACTTTGGGCAGTTACATATGTCCAACTGCTGGAGCTTCTTCAACCGTCCAATCGACATGGGTAGCTGAAGCAAATTGGGTAGTGAATCCAGCAAGAGCCTCGTAAGCTTGAAAAGTCCACACACTGCTTCCGGCAGTGCTTCCAGCCACTCAGCATCAACGACAAACAGATTTATTAAGTTTGACAACTGAGAGATGGAGGTAGGAAGTGCACGCAGTGCAGGCATACTCTCCAGCCTCAGCTCTTCCAATGAAGAGATGCGCACCAGGGCTGGATCAAGTACTTCAGAAGCAACACCCGAAATGGTAAGGCTCTGCAGCGATGGGAGCACTTCCGCTTCAACGCTCTCCACATTGCTGCTGCTGCTGCTGCTGCTGCAATTGATTCTCCCCCCAACCAAGGTGTCCATAACTCTCCTTCCGCCCAAGGACTTGCAGTGGCTCACATCCAGCTCCCGCAGTCGAGGCAGCTTCATCAGCGATTGAGGAACTGATTCCAAATCGTCCAAATCATTAAGGTTGAGCTTCTCCAGCATTTTCAGGTGCCCAATCTCCTCTGGCAAGGCTTTCAGCTCACTGCAGGATTCCACTGTCAGGCTGGTGAGGGTGAGAGCTAATCGAGAAAGGGAGGCAGGGAGGGAAGTCAGATCTAATATGCAACTTAAGGAGAGAGTTTTAAGGTGTGAAAAGCAGCTGAAGCCCTCAGGAAGACAGCCTCTCAAACACTGGAGATCACTCAGTATTACATTTTCAAGCAATGAAAAGCGGAAGAGCGACGCAGGGAGGTGGGTGATAGGTATCCGACATACAAACAGCTCACGAAGGTGGCATAGGCCATCCCCCATGCCCTCTGGTAGAACAGTTAAAGCCCGCGTCTCATATTTCCACCCTTTCGACCAAGTGTAATACGGTAGAAAACTGGTAACAGGGTTCCCGTCGCCAAACTACACCTGCGGTTTGCACAGGCTTGGGGGCTGGTTGGGTTTGTGCTTCTCGGCTAGAAATATTGTCGTGACCCAACCAGGGAGGGCCAGCAATCGAACGTGCACCAAACCAAGGTCTGGAAAAACACCTGACGATACAGAGCGACAAGTTTGTGGTTCAGTCATGCGACGCAACCTCGCAATGCGATAGTCTCTCACCGGGGGACCAACCATATTACTCAAGCACGGAAATATAGAGACTGCGTTTCACGCAGCTTTCCATCTCGCCAGTCAAAATGCCTACCAAGCGTATTACGCTAGAACAGGGCGACTACCACAGCCGTTTTGCATAAACTAAAACAGAATTAGGAGACTCGTCAAGTCCGGTGCTTCTCCCGTTCGACCTCCGAGTAGCATTCACCTCTCGCTGTAGGTAAAAGGCGTCTCGTAGAACTTGGGCTTCATTCCCGCTGGCCGCGATTGGTACACAATCGATTGGGATTGGAAGGGAGGGACGGAAGATGCGGAGGAAGGTAGGGGCTATGGCATGGAAGGGATGTTAGGCAAGCACAATGAGAGCGGAACCGGTAGCGGAGCGACATCGGCGAAAGCGGAGAGAGAGAGGCGTCGGCGTTTGCGGTAGCGTAGCGGCATCGGCTGGAGCGGAAAGGAAGGCAGCAAGGCGAGCGCCATCGCCGCCGCCGTCGCCGTCGCCGTCGCGGACGGGAAGAGTCGCGCCGAGACCAGACGGGACGGGAGAGGCCGCGACGAGAGAGAAGGCCACGCGACGAGAGAGGAGGGGACGCGACGAGAAGAGCGAGGGGACGCGACGAGAAGAGCGAGGGGACGCGACGAGAAGAGCGAGGGGACGCGACGAGAAGAGCGAAGGGACGCGACGAGAAGAGCGAGGGGACGCGACGAGAAGAGCGAGGGGACGCGACGAGAAGAGCGAGGGGACGCGACGAGAAGAGCGAGGGGACGCGACGAGAAGAGCGAGGGGACGCGACGAGAAGAGCGAGGGGACGCGACGAGAAGAGCGAGGGGACGCGACGAGAAGAGCGAGGGGACGCGACGAGAAGAGCGAGGGGACGCGACGAGAAGAGCGAGGGGACGCGACGAGAAGAGCGAGGGGACGCGACGAGAAGAGCGAGGGGACGCGACGAGAAGAGCGAGGGGACGCGACGAGAAGAGCGAGGGGACGCGACGAGAAGAGCGAGGGGACGCGACGAGAAGAGCGAGGGGACGCGACGAGAAGAGCGAGGGGACGCGACGAGAAGAGCGAGGGGACGCGACGAGAAGAGCGAGGGGACGCGACGAGAAGAGCGAGGGGACGCGACGAGAAAGGAGGGGTCGGAACGGGAGGGGACGAGAGGAGGGGCGTCGAGAGCAGAGGGGACGGGAGGGCACACCCTGTGGGTGTGAAGGGGTTCAGTCTCAACGGTGCGGCAGGTGAAGCAGGCGCACATCTGCCACATCCCCTTTTCCTTACCCCCATCTCCCATGCCCTTCCCCTCATCCCCCTTTCTCTTTCCTCCATTCCCCTCCCCACAACAGCATCCCCCTTTCCATTTTCCCCATCCCCCTTCCCTTCCCAGCATCCCGCTTTCCCTTTCCCCCATCCCCCTTCCCTTCCCAGCACCCCCCTTTCCCTCTCTCCCATCCCCCTTCCCTTCCCAGCATCCCCCTTTCCCTTTCCCCCATCCCCCTTCCCAGCATCCCCCTTTCCCTTTCCCCCATCCCCCTTCCCAGCATCCCCCTTTCCCTTTCCCCCATCCCCCTTCCCAGCATCCCCCTTTCTCTTTCGCCCATGTCTCATTCCCTTCCCCGCGCCCTCCTTTCCCTTCCCACATCTCCAATTCCCTTCCCACACCCCCTTTTCCTTTTCCCCATCCCCCTTCCCTTCCCCGCATCCCCCTTTCCCGTCCCATGTCTCCACCTTTCCCTTCCCTCATCCCCCTTTCCCTTTCCTCATCCTCCTTCCCTTACCCCACCCCCCTTCCCTTCCTGCACCCCCCTTTCCCTTCCCCCTTCCCCCTTTCCCTTTCCCCATCCCCCATCCAGCCAACACTTCGCCAAACCCTCCACCTTATTGCCCCACCTCTCACACTATTCCGCCAACCAATCACTTCCTCCCTTCCTCCCATGCCTCACCTCGCTTTCCTCCCATGCCTCACCTCGCTTTCCTCCCATGCCTCACCTCGCTTTCCTCCCATGCCTCACCTCGCTTTCCTCCCATGCCTCACCTCGCTTTCCTCCCATGCCTCACCTCGCTTTCCTCCCATGCCTCACCTCGCTTTCCTCCCATGCCTCACCTCGCTTTCCTCCCATGCCTCACCTCGCTTTCCTCCCATGCCTCACCTCGCTTTCCTCCCATGCCTCACCTCGCTTTCCTCCCATGCCTCACCTCGCTTTCCTCCCATGCCTCACCTCGCTTTCCCCACTTTTTTCCCCTCTACTTCCCCTATTGCCCCCTCTGTTGACGTGCTTGTTCCAGCATGGCGCCACAAACAGGTTGAACCCTAATTTTGTGACTAATGCGTAGATTTGAACTCAGTTGTTGGCAAAGTAGGCTTGCCAAACTCTCTGTGTCTCTTGTCTTTCAATAGTAGTGTATTGAAATTGTTACTCTGATTGCTTCAATGCATCTTTGAAGTAGCAATTGAGCACGGCACTGACGTAAAGAGCCTATTGATTGTATACACTTGTATATTATCTTAAAAATACGAAGTACAACTTTCCTCTAGCACTGGCGTTGCCTTCGTGCGTCTGGCTGTGCATCTGCTGCATGCCGCCAGGCTCGCCTGGGACTAGCTTAGTCCTGCTTGTAGCTGGAACAAAGGGAGGGGGTGACGGGAGGAACGAAGGCTCCAGGGATGAGAAAGATGGTTGTAAGTGGGGACGGGGAGGGTAGGGGTCATGGAAGGAAGGGAGGTTGGCACGCAAGATGGGAAGGAAGGGAGGGCAGATGGAGAAGGTAGGACGGCTCCGGGCGGGAGGAGGAGAGTGGGAGGGTGGGAGAAGGGCGGGATGATCTGGGAGATGTTGGCGGGACAGCCGGCGCAGGAGTCCTGAGGGGTGTCCTGGTGTGCCGTGGGGTGGGGATGGGGATGGGGGGTTGGGGATGTGGGTGGTTAGGCAGGTAGGCAGGAGAAGGCAGTGGGTGTAGTGCAGGGAAAGTAGGGCGGGAAGAAAGCGGGGCACCTCAAGGAAAGCAGCAGTGGAGCGCTGCACGCGTGGAATATCCTCATCTGCAAGCAGGCGCGCCACGGCTGGTGAGGGATGCAGCGAGTGCAGACACGCTGCCAGCTCGTCCGCCATCCAACACGGGTCGTCCACCTGATGGGCGCGTAAGTGGAAGGGTAAGATTGGGCAAAAGTCGCCTGACGGGCGCGAAAGGGCGGGAAAGGTTGGGCGCGAGCGGGGGAGGGTGGTGGTGGTTGCAAGGAGAGACGGAAACACGTGAAAGGCAGGAGGGAGGAACGTGCAAAGACGCGCAACAAAAGCATGGGGAATCAGACGCGGATCCAGGTACTGAGAATAAAAAATTGCTTGTGTTGGACACAATTTTTTCCCCATGCGGCGCCCATCACCCAGTGCTCTGCCCTGCCCTGCCCTGCCCTGCCCCAACCATCCCTTGCCCTGCACCCTGCGTCACACCCACCCATCCGTCCCACATGCTGGCTCGATTGGACACAAGCAGCCTGACTGGCATGCGAAACACCCATCCCACTCGTTGCTCTGCCGTGCCCCAACCATGCCTTGTCCCGCACACATGCATCATACCCATCCATCCCACGTGCTAGCTCGAGTGGACACAAGCAGTCTGACGGGCATGCGGAACACCCGCTTGCTGCGCTGCCTCCCACTCATGTCGCCGCCCCACAGTCCCCCACTGACGCCTGAATAGGGCAGAGGAGGAGTGGAGAGAGAGGGAGGAAGGAGGAGCTAAGGAGGAGAGGAAAGCAGCGGCGCAGGAACAGATGAAAGAAAAGAGCATGGGGTGAGTGCAACGCTAACTCGGCATAAAAGGTCAATCTATGTGCTCAGCATCGGAAGCAGCCTACTGTCCTGCATGCATGCATGCCATCAGTCCCCTCCCCAGGGCCTTACAGCTTTGAACTTGAAGCCGTGTGGTGGGGACCGCAGCAGCGGCCCTGCCACACACTCAGGCGACACGTCCTCCACTGCCCACCTGATGCCACGCGTGCGTCAGAGGGATGGGGGACGAGGGAAGGAAAGGAGCGGGTGAGAGGAAGACAAGGGAGAAAGAATGGCTCGTGGGAGACAGACAGAGAGTTATTGTGACAGGAACGGAAAGGCGGGGGTTTGTGACAGGGAGTGGGAGGTTGAGAGGGAGGGAGGAGAGATGAATGAATGCAGAGTGAAAGGCGCGGGGAAGCAAAAAAATAGAGAAAGGCAGAAAGACAAAAACCCAGGCCCATCCCAAGTCCCACCCAGCCAAATCATCCCTCCCCTCCCCCTCTCTCTCTCCTCCTTCTCCCCACTTCCCCCACACCCGTCACTCACCGAAGGTCCGGTTTGGAGATCTTGGGGTGGGCGGGGAGGGAGAAGAGCGAGGAGAAGGGAGCGGCGTGGACGGGCGCGTCTGTGAGCCAAAGGACCTTGAGCGAGAACCCCGCCGCCACTGCTAGCGCCTCCATTCCGCACAAACGCCACCAACCGCGCTGCCATGCTGCCCTGGGGAGGGGGAGAGAGGGGCGAGAGGAGAGGGAGAGGGGCGGGGAGGGGGAAGAGGGGAGTAGGGGGAGGGAGAGGGCGGAGGGGAGGGGGGAGGGAGAGGGGGAGGGAGAGGGGAGAGGGGAGTGGGAGAGGGGAGAGGGGGGTGGGGGAGGGGAGTGGGGGAGGGGGAGGTGGGGAGAAAGGGGAGAGAGAATGGGTTTGGTTGTTGTGAAAGGTGCTTGATTCGTGCGCAGTGAGACGGAGGGCAGACTGAAGATTGTGAGAGCTTAGGTGCGACTGGTCGATGGGGAAGCAGGGCGGAGCGAAGTGGGGTGGGGTGGGGAGGGAGGGGGGGGGAAACGGGGTTGTGGGGGAAGAGAGGGGAGATAAGGCCAAGTCAAGATACAGAGGTGTTTCGAGAACTCTCGCAATTTATAGGAATCAGTGGGCGACGCAGCGGGCGACACAGTGCGCGACAGAGGCGTCGCACGCACCTCGGCGATCAGAACGAGGTCGTACTCGGCCAGGTGCATGGTGCTGGCTGGTTCTAAAACGGGCGGGGCCACACTCTAGAGCCTAGAGTCTTTCCGTAATGGTTCTCGGCTTTTCCGTTGTGTTACGACTTCGTTGATGATCAGTTATGGTTGGCGAGGGGGCCCGGGTGAGGGCGCAGAATTCCGTACTATCACGAACGCTGAGGGGGATTAAAACAGCGCCGGAGAAAGCACGGCACGGCGCGTCTAATTGCAGCGAGACGTTTTTTTTAGGCGCCTCGAAAATACAGAGGCTTGACTACTGGTGGTTAGCCTCGTGGAATATCGAATGTGGGAGGTACGACGGCAAGGTATGGCGTCATGATTGCTCAGCGCACGCGAAAGAGCAAGTACTAGAAGGCAAATGGCGAACTGGTCATACGCTATTCGATGTCGAGCCAGCAGGTAAGTCGGGTGGAATTTCGATCAGTGCAAGTCGCAATAGGTCTTGATGTGAACAGCTGGTAGAAGGCAGGACAGGGCAGCACGTTTGTACCCGAACCATCGGACGCGGAACGGCTGACGACGGGGAAAACGCTTTATTTTTTGAGACGAGGAGACGAGGAGTTACTAGACTTTCCCTGCGCCTGCTTTCTGTTGGTCGAATATGAGGTACTAGGTGGTTGTGCTCTGCTCTCCATGCGACTGTCATGCTGCGGGGTGAAAGTGGGCGACTGTGTGTTGTTGTTTTGGCTGGTCGCACGCAATTGCGATTCTGCCAAACCTGTTTTCTAGGTGTGGAAGTGTTCCATGCCTGGGGGGTTTGTTTGGCGTTTGCCTTGACGAAGAGGGGTTTCGCTTCCCTTTTCCAAACTGCTCGTCACAAACTCGCCCCTCGTTACCCAATCACAGGTGCCTTTGCCCAACCAAGTGTAATACCGTTGTAAATATGAGACGCGGGTTTTAAGCTTGAGCAGTTGTTGATCTCCAATTTCCGAAGGGAAGATAGCAGGGTAAACGAACAGGGTAGCTGCCGCAGTTGCTCACAATTCTGAAGTCTCAGATCTTGCAGTTTGATCAAATGCCCAAAAGATTCGGGCAGGTGGCTGAGGTGTTTAAGTTCTGAGAGACGCAAAATTTCCAAAGCAGTCAGCCGGCCAAAGTCCTCGGGCAGGGACGAAATTCCTCGAAGACGATTGGCTATAGAGCTGACTAGCTTCATACTTTTGAGTTTTGACAGCCGACCAATGTCATCCGGCAGTTCTGACACACATGGCACGCGCAAGTTGAGCTCCGTGAGGGATGTAAGATTGGGCAAGGATCTGGGCAGCCATGAGGAACTGTCACGGCTCTCAATGGTAAGCAGTTGCAGCTGTGGGAGAAGTCCAACTGTCTCTGGAAGTGCCCTAATCCCTCTCACACGCCTCACGACTAGGCACTCCAATGCCAACAGCTTTCCGAAATCCTCAGGCAGCGGCAAGAGCTCCGCAAAATCGATCAGCTCAAGCATCTTCAGTCGCTTAAGCTTGGAGAGACCATCTGGTAGCCGAAATGTCCTGCAATGGCTGATAGACAGTTGCTGCAGATCGACAAGCTGCTGAATGGACGTGGGGAGAGAGCGGAGAGAGCGAACGCCAAGACTCAATGTCTTCAGCGACACAAGATTGCCAAAGTTTTGTGGCAAATCTTGTAGATTGGCCATACTGAGTTTGAGGTTCTCAAGAAGCTGCAAAGACGTGATCGCGTCAGGAAGATGCGCAACTCCTTCGATAGTAAGAACGAGGCTCCTGAGTTGAGATTGGAGGCTGATGGAAGGTGGAATGCTAAGGATACGTGGCGGACAAGCGAGGCGCAGATCCTCTAGCTTGGTGCAACCCTCAAGGAGGTTCGAAAGTCCTTCCGTCGTGAAATCGCTGACGGCTTTAATGTGAAGCTGAACTAAATCGGGGTGCGAGTGGGCCAGGCCAGCGAGGAAAACGTCCGGGACGAAGGACAAACAATCTTCGGAAACAACGAGTTTCTTCAGTCTAGGAAATGCCGCGAGCTGGTCAAGCAGCTGGCGATGATTCAAGAAAGTGCCACTAGACACGTGAATGGCGTCCTGAACGAGATAGGCTATGTCACGCCATTTCGTGCACACCAGAGAATGCAGGAACTGGTCGGGTCTACCAGCTAGCTGCAGGATCTTGGCGAGCAAATCGTCAGATAGCCGTTGGATCGGAGACTCGTCAGACATTGTGACGGATCTATGAGCTTGTTGTGAAGACTAAATAGACCGAAGTGAACTACAAGCTATTCTGCGAGCAATGTAACAAGGGAAAAGGGAGTACTAACCGAAGATGATGGCGGATTGGCAGGCAGACGAAATCCACAGGCTAAAAACGTGAAGGAGGCTTGGTGCACTTGGATCCGTAAGCGACGCGAGAGGGAGCTCTTGGGTGATGGAAGGGATATGGGGTTCTAAGGGTTTCGGGTTGTTGGTTTGGGAGGGATCTGAAATGGGAGGGTAGGGTAGGGAGGTCCTGCACGTGGCGGTGCACGGTTAGTCGATAGTGGACGACAGCTCGTCCTGGGGCTTGCGAGCTGTGAACCGTAATGGCAGAGCGAACAAGCAAATGCAAAACGCTGGCGCATTCTACTCGGGCGAAAGGGGTGAAACACACAAGATGGGCGGTGAGCAGAATGAATAAAACCCGACCGAACATGCCTAACAGGTTCTGGCTCGGTTCTGAACCTCAGAAACAGCTTGGCGGAAAGCTGGCCGTCAGATCGAGCTGGTCTGGAATGAGGGCGCGTCTCCACCCTCGATCGATCGTGCGGAAGTTCGAACCGGCTCGGTTCAAAGAGGTTCAAAAAATTGAAAGCAAAACAACGCAGGAGTTTAGTGCGGTGGAGGTTCGATCATCGTCGATTTTGCACGATCCATTGACGGAGGGGACGCGCCCTGAGTTGCGAGGAAAGTGGTGTCCATTTCTCTCCCTACTACTCCCTACATAGATTTTTTCCAGAAATCCGCACTGATCAAGAAAACCCTATCGTCACAGTCTAGCACAGTAACATGGCAGGATGGTGCCACGTGGCTGCACCAAGTCCTCTAGTGCATATCTTCCCGTGGGCTGGAATAGCGGCCGGAGCTCTGTTCCTCGCGATCGTCTTTGACACGCGCCGTACGGCATGGTGCGGCTGTGCAAGGAGGAACGCATTTCTTTCGCCTCGTTCAAGTAATAAGGCATCCCTTTAGGCATCCCGTTGCTACCTCACGTAAAGCATTCCGTTTCTGGCGTTAGAATAAGGACTTTTGGACAATTCCGATTTGCGTACGACATTCCGTTCCTTCCCGTTTCAACTGATGCATATCCCTTCTGCCATTCGAAATAAAGCTGTCCGTTTCTGCCGTCAAAGCGAGAGGACATTGAAGGCGTGTTACTGCCACGTCGATGCGTTGTAAGACGTTTCAGCCAGAAACTGCATTATTTCTTCCTGCTGTCCGAGGCACATTCGTTCTCAACTCACCTCCATCTTAATTTCCCTCCCGTCCCTCCTTTCCGCATTTTCCCTTTCTATTACCCTCTCCCCTCCTCCTTTGCCCTCCAGGCCTTTCGTTGGTCAATCGTTCGACCACTACCGCCTGCCTCCTCCTTCCCCACTTTCCCGCAACCAACCTCCCCCTCTCACCACCTCCCCCTCCGTCCCCCCGACTCATCGCCCTCGACCCACTGCCCGGCGGTGTTCCTTCCGCAGAACGGGGACGCGCTCGGGTTCACTGTGGGGGTGACGCTGCAGCTCCTTGTGATGGCGCATGCGCTTGTGAGGCAGGTATGTTGACGTGGCTATGTTGGAATGGAATGGGATGGGATGGGATGGGATGGGATGGGATGGGATGGGATGGGATGGGATGGGATGGGATGGGATGGGATGGGATGGGATGGGATGGGATGGGACGGGGTGGAATTGATGTCATTGTATGAGATGCATGCAGAACAGAAATAGGACGCTTGGCCCCACCACCCACATCCTCGCCCTTCTTCGCCCCTTCTTCCCCCACCCACCTCTTCCCTCCCCGCTTTCCACCTCGTCGCTTCCATTCTCCTCGCATCCTTCCCTTCTCTTCGTCTTGGTTTGCTACGCGCCCACTTGTCTCCGGATCCGCCTCCACATGACATGGTTGTCTTGGTGCATCCCAACCATGCTCTCTCTCTTCGCCATTCGTCCATGCCTCAGCAGCTCTTTCTGTCCAGCGCGGGGGTTTCACCAAGGCACCGATGGCGAGCAAGGGAGCATGCAGCAGTGCATGGCCGTGGTGCTGCATGGGCGCCTGCGCAGGTTCTCTTCTATCTTCCTCACTGACCACTCGTGCCAACAGGGAAAGAGTGGGTGGGTTTGGTTCTTTGCCGAACCTCGCATGATCTTCGTTAATTCTCACTCGCGCAGACTGCCTCTCCTTATCACTCTCTCCTCCTCCTCACCGCATATTCCTCTCTCCAGGCGTGCAGGAGGGGACCATACGACCTGTCATGGAACACAGAAGTGCTGCCACCAGCAGCACCCATGCTGCCACCGGCACCCATGCCCTGCCGTGGCTGCACCACCTCTTGTGCTCCTGGGGCCCTCATGCCCTGCCTTTTAGCTCTCACCGCTTCACCAGTCAGTCCTTCCTTTACCTGTGCCGTTTGGTTCCCTTTTCTACGTTTTTTTCGCGCGTGCGTGCTGTGTCACTCCGATGTTTCCCCATCTTTGCTGTCGCCTATGCTTTCGTCTGCTCCCTTTCGTCTCTCTTGTTTCCCATATGCGGTTGTTTTTTTTCCTTGTATTCGTTCTCACATTACCCTGATACTTTTGACAGCACACTCATAGAACTGTGTCTCCCTACTGCTTCTCATTCATTCTCGTCTCGCCAGTAAGTCCATGCTGTTTTGGGCTGTTGCGAGTGGGTGAGTTTAAGAGGAGGGGCCTTACAACCCTTGGGTGGGTGAGTGGGAGGGCAGAGGCGGGTCTTTGTGGAGAGCATGAGGCGGAAGTCAATTTCCTTAGAGGGGCAAGATACGTCAATGACTGCATCGCGCAGCGCATTGTGCTTCACCTGATGAGGGGTGCAACGCAAGGTAGTGCAAAAGTGGGATGGATGCGTGGAGGGTGGGAAGGCTCACGTTTGGGTGAAATAGAGAAACATATTCAGCTCCCTTTTTAGTGGTTCATGGAAGCACTCAGGACGACGGGAAAGTGATTAGAATGAAACCAGTAAGGAGGAAATGAGATGTAATAAGTGTGTCAAGTGGCTGCTGGCGTGTGTGGACAGGCGCCACTCTCCCATCGCCACTCTCCCATCGCCACTCTCCCATCGCCACTCTCCCATCGCCACTCTCCCATCGCCACTCTCCCATCGCCACTCTCCCATCGCCACTCTCCCATCGCCACTCTCCCATCGCCACTCTCCCATCGCCACTCTCCCATCGCCACTCTCCCATCGCCACTCACGCCACTCTCCCAGCGCCACTCTCCCATCGCCACTCTCCCAGCGCCACTCTCCCATCGAAAGATCCACATCATGCGGCCGTGTCGGCGAGATTCGGTGGTGCGGCTGGGATCGCCGTCGATTGCCATCCTGGCCGGATGGATGGGATGGGCTGGGCGCGCCTGCTGCATCCGGGGCTGACCGGCTGCTTAGGTGGGGAGGGGAGGGGAGGGGAGGGGCCCGCAGGGATGGGCGGGGCTGGGATGGGGTGAGGGCAGTGGCAGCAGTGTGAGAGGGTAATGGCATCGTTGTTGCTATCTCATTACATGTGCACTGCGTTCTCTCCGCCCTTCGTACCTCCCTCCCTCCCAATTCTGTGTTTCCTCTTCTCATCATGCGCCCCTCATCCCCACTCCGTGTTTTCCTTGGCTCACCTATCTTCCCCCCGCCCATTCTCTTCCCCCTCCTTCGATCACCTATCTCCCCCCCCCCCCCACCCATTCTCTTTCCCCCTCCAATCACCTCTCTTTCCACCTGCTCACTCTCTTTCCCCCTTCGCTCAACCGTTTTTCCCCCGCTCACTCTTCTTTTCCTCCCTTCCCTCACCCGTCTTTCCCCACTCACTCTCTTTCCCCCTTTGTTCACCCGTTTGCCCTTCCCTCTCCTCCCTGTGCCCTGTCCTCTCCCTCCCTGTGCCCTGTCCTCTCCTCCCTGTGCCCTGTCCTCTCCTCCCTGTGCCCTGTCCTCTCCTCCCTGTGCCCTGTTCTCTCCTCCCTGTGCCGGAAGAGAGGGGTCAGATGCAAGGTGGGTGGCGGATCAGCAGCAGAGGCGAGCAGCTTGGGGGTGCGTAGCAGTAGTGGGATGGTGAGGCATGACAACACAAGTGAGAGGCTCAGGTCTGGTGCTACTACGAGGGCAGGTGAAGGCGAGCGTGTGGCAGGGACAGGAGGCAGCAACAACATGCGCCCTTCCAGCAGCAGTGATGGCAGTGACAGTAGTGAGAGCAGTGACAGCACCAGCAGCAGCAGTATCAGCAGCAGTAGTGAAAAGACGAGTGGCACCAGCAGCGGTGGCAGTAGCAGCAGTATGAGTAGCATGCGTGGGGAAAGGCAAGCGACTGTGATTCCTGCTGCTGGTGACAGGAGCCGGAGCAGGGAGGAGCAAGGGAAATATTCAGGGAGAATGGTGGCTGGAGAAGGGATCTCGAGAGGAGGAGTGGCAGAAGGGGGAGAACGAGGGAAGGAAGTTGGGAACAGCCGTGGTGGGATGAGAGTGGAGAGACGAGGAGGGAGAGGAGAAGGGGAGGGGGTGAGGTGCACTCCTGTCTTGCACAGGATGGGTGGATCAAGGGACGAAGGAGGTGGGGGTGACTCGAGGAGGTCACGTGAGGAGAAGGAAAGAGTAGCGTGGAAAGGGAGAGTTTTGATGAATGCCGAAAATCGGAAGGGGAAAGGAGCTGGAGCAAGGTTGAGGGAGGTACGAGGGGGGAGGCCAGAAATGTTGGGAGCAGTGGAAGGGGAAGTGGTGAGGGGAGAGTGTGGAGAGGTGATGTGACAGGTGGGGGCAGCAGAGAAGGGGTTTCTCGAAGCAGGTTGAGCGGAGGGGAGGTGCATAGGGCTAGGGGAGGAGCGGAAGATAATGCAGGGCGTGAAGTGGAGTCACTTGGGAAGAGGAGGCGAGAAGAGAGTACGGATTGGAGGAAACGGGGTGGCAGCTGGCGGGAGAAGCGTGGAGATGGGTGGGTGGGAGAGGGGTAAAGGTGGCCGGGGGAGGAGTGGAGATGG